TATATATATATATATATATATATATATATATATTAGCCACTTCAAGTTCTTTATTAGCCACTTCAAGTTCTTTATATATATATATATATATATAGTATCTACACTAATTATTGCGTAGTACATCAATTATGGAAGAAAATGCAGGGCTGGCTTGACTGGACGGAGTAGATAGATTAGGTTTCTTTTTTCATGACCGCACACATTTTCCTACAAACAATAGCCATAATGAGGGCTCAAATCCAAGATTCATAATGCAATGTGACCTTTTTCCTCAGCCAAAAAAAAAAAAACTAAGAAAAGTTCAAGAAGTGACATCAAATTTGTTTCATTGGACCATTGATGTCCACTTCGACCCCCAGTCAAGTCCCTTCTTGTGTTAGATACGTTCACAAGTGTTCAATATTTGTACATAGGGTAAACCTTCACGTTAAAATATGTGAACATTTTCGAAAATTGTATATTGTACATGCAAGTCAATAAAATGTACGTCTTTGTGTGATTTGTTTCTTTTTAACAATTGGTGGAAGAAGGCTTTCAAACCCCATTCCACATAAAATTTTTTGGAATTCATAGAGAGTCGGAGTCCTATATTGATCGATTGATTTGTTTTAAATTTAAAAATTTATATAGGATCTTTTCCTATCTCTTCTATGCTACAGGTTTAAGACAGACCAAAAAAAAATGAAAAGAAAAGATTTCCTTTTCCTCGATGTTTTCTAGCATTTTCAATACCTTCTTGGAAAAGTATTTTAATCGATAACACTAGAAGATGCGGTGCAAATTACTCTTTTTTTCTTCATACCAACATTTCTATAGAGGTTATTATCTCAACAACAGTGTTCATACTCACAGTGAAACATATAAGTATAGTCTACTGAGTAATATAGAAAGAAAGTTGGGGACTAAAAGTTTCATTGGTTGATTTTACATAGTATTGAGATTATTTTTTAAAATAAAAAATATTATTCATATCATTCTCAACTTTGTCTCGACGCTTAAGTCTACTAAATCACTAGATAATAATTATTTTTAATAAATTTAAAATTTGACTATACGAATTATTTTTCTATATTGGACAATTCACACAATAGAAAACACCACAGTGGAGCCAAAAAAAATTGAGTGAATTACCCAAATAGTCACTGAATTTTGTAAAAAGTTTACACGGGGTCATTGATCTTTAAAAATCATCTAATTCATTACTGAACTTTGTAAAAAGTTTTCACGGGATCACTGAACTTTAAAAATCACCTAATTCATCACTGAAGTGACCCCTAAAAAATATTTTGCAAAGCTTAGTGACCCAATTGAAACATTTTGCAAAGTTCAATGATAAATGTGATGGTTTTTAAAGTTCGATAACTACATAGAAATCTTTTGTAAAGTTCAATGATAAATTTGATTATTTTTAAAGTTCAATAACCTCGTAGAAACTTTTTACAAAATTTAATATTCATTTGAATAATTCACTCCAAAAAATTCCAACCACAACAATAAGTTTTGGTTTGAGTAATTAAAAATGTAAATTTAGGTTTTGGTATCATTTCGTGTACTCATCAACTTTCTTATCTAATACCTTTATGTCTCCATCTGTCACCATCTTTATTAATTTAATTGTACATATTTTTTTCAATCTATATGACACTAACTTTGTCGATATCGGTGCAAACAAATAGTAAATTTATTAAATTGCATACCAACTATTAAATATTTATCTACGTGGGGGACCTTGTTGAGTGGTTCACTATCTCCAAATTAATAGAGAGGAAAAATGCATTCAAATTCATTATATTACTTACTTTTTATTAACCTTTGGATTATTTATTTTGTAGCAAGTAAATCTTTAAAGAGCCCATCTAATTTGGCCTCTAAAACTTCGCGTGATTTGAAATTTTAATTGAAAATTATTGTAAAGTCATTTTTAGTTAATAGAAGACACGAAAATATAAATATAAATATAAATATAAATATATATTTTATTTTATGGCACTTTTTTCATACTAGGGCATTTGAAGGGAGGTAACATTAGGGCTGTACAAAAAAATGGCAAAATCGCAAATTGAATCGAAATTGTTTGTTCGGGTCCACGTGGACCCGTAATTTCTTTTCCCTCAAATCAAACAAAACCGTTTCAAAATGGGTTGATTTAGGTTTTGAATTTAAAAAATTGCACAAAATCGAACCACCCCGTTTTTAAAATTTTTAATTAGAAAATAATTTTATTAATTTAAAAATTTTACAGTTTTCACTTTTAAAAAAAATACCAATTTAGCAATACAAATTACAATGAGCCTATTGAAATAATTATAGAAAGTAAATTAGGTTCATAATTATTTATCTATGATTTAACAAGTTCACAACACATGTCCTCATCCGATATCTAAGCTAAACTAAAATTATTTCAAAATCATATGAAATGAAAATATATATATATTTTCTCAACAATTTAAATCATAATTCAACAAAATTACGTCAGCAAATCACGTCCAAAATTTTAGAAACCCTAATATAAACTCTCATTTCCGTAACATTTGACGTTTTTCTGCCACTGCTAACGAATCGACAATTGCCTTTGACTGTTAGTCTACTAATTTCTATCTGAATCGTCTCTCTCTCTCTCTTCTCTTTCAGTAAGTCTTAGATTCTTATTCAAACCATTTTTCCATTGTTCTTTCTTTTATTTATTTATTTATTTTAAATTTGTTATACACTTGTGAGTTATAGTTTTGATAGAAAAATGATTATTTGTGTGCCTAGATGATTAATGAACTTATATGTGATTTGAAAATAACGAAGGACGAAACATATTGATTGTGCAAAATTTTTAAAGTTCCTTAACAAGTACTACCACCTTCAACTTTACATCTCACTAGCAAAGCGAAAAA